TTGAGTGTGAGAGCACTTGAATTTCTTGGTTGCAAACTAAGCATTCAGCCAGAGATTTTATGAACTTACAATGTGTAACCTGTTATTAGCTGCCACCGTAAAGAACTTTGTTATGGGATGCAGGTTTTAACCAGACAATTTTATGACTGTGGATAATGAGAGAGATAAGGTTTAGGAGCATGAGGAATAAAGAAGGAACCAGAGGGAGAGGGTCCAAATGACTTTATCCTGACTAGAATCAGGACTGAGATAGATAGAGTGTGAGATTAAGGATTTGGCATTGTAGCCCATTTGCGATATTTTCCATTAGGAATTAAAGATCAAGGTACCGATCTTAGAGCGAATTCCATGTGAGATATATTTTTTTAAATTGGCATATTTCAGTAACAAAATAAGTCCTAGTCGAGTTGTAATTTCAGTTACCATATCATACTTGATATCGACTGCGGAATTCAGAGGTTGAACAGAAAAGGAAAGTACTGTTGATCGTCGAAAAGGAAAGAACAACACATTAGGACATGTTTTCCACTTATGACTCAATTACCTACATGGTATATGTTTAGAGTTACCAAAATACAAAAAATTCAAGTTTCAGTTGGATTCTGTCTAGTGGGAACCAGTAAGAGAATCTTTCAACCGGTAGCCAACTTTGGGTCATAAAAGATTTGTTCACTGCTAACTTTGAACCGATACCACAATTGGGAACCGGTAGCCAAAGTACGTCGGAAAGGCTTTTGACCTTCTTGAACCGGTAGCAAATTTGGGAACCAGTAGCCGAAGCTTCTTGAACCGGTAGTAAATTTGGGAACCGGTAGCAAGAGTCCTAATAGCATTAGAACTTTCAGTTTCCTGTTCTAATCATTTCCTTTTTGATCCAACTTTCCTTCCAAGTCCTATGCATGAAATTTCCTTTATTTTCAGAAGGAATAGGACTTTACAAACCTCTATATAAATCATGTCATATACATTTCTTTGGGAAGAACGGCTTTTAATCAGTATTCATATATCATACAAAGCCTTAGGAAGTTTATCCCTCTCAGAAAATTAAAGTTGATTTTTCTGTTGTCTTCATAGAACATACACATATTCACCTAGTTAGGTTAGAGTTGTGGAGTTCGAATCCTGATCAGGATCATACAGTCGTATCAACATCGATCAGATGAAGTAGATCTTTTTCTACATCATTCAGACAGTTGAAGAACAAAAGTAAATGCAGTCACACTTTGGAATGGTTAGAGCATTCGAAGAGTATTATTTAATCTACCTGTCACTCTTCTACAAATATCAAGTATAAGCCTGAGGTCAAGTTGCTGTCGAACGGAGAGTCACAAAGCCAGAGGATCGTCAGCGGTTGGTGTGGTATAAAACGATAGAGTGTGAGCCAGAGTCAAAATTCGGTATACTTTGTTTCAAGCATAGTGGATTGGTTTACTTTAGACTGCACAGTCCACGAGGTTTTCCCATCATAGTTGACGTATTTTATCAACTAGGGTTTCCGCTAAAATCTTAGTGTCATCTCTAACTTTATACTTTGCTTTATTTTATCTACATGTGATTAACTGTTTAATTGCTAAAATATAAAATAAGTAAAGATTGTTAAGGACACAGATCTATTTTATAAAACAAACAAACACTTTCTAAGTAATTTCCGCTGCGTACAACTCACATTCCAAAGTGTAAGGATTGGAATAGACTGGGTTGAATGGAGCCATGGAGGTAACCACAGGAACTTGAAGCCTTTCTTTCTTTCTTTCTTTCTTTCTTTTTTTTCTTTTTTTTTTTTTTTAACTTTCCCCAGATTTATATAAATTATGTTTCATGAATGGAGTGAAGAAACTGAGAGAGTAGGACCAAAAACTTGCATCCACAGCACAAAACTGGAACGCATGAAGTCATGAATTGAGATACGTATTGCTATTAGATATAACCCTCATTATTCATTTTAAATTTCTTTTACCAAAGTAGAAAAGGAATTTGATTAAAACCTGAAGTTTTTAATAAACAGGACATGAATTTGATTAAAATTAGAAGTTTTAAATTACCAGGGCGAATTGCAAGTGCACCATGTCTCCCTAAGGTCCTTTGGCAAAGTTTTTACATGATCTCAGCCAATTCCGTACATGACAAATTATGATTGGACGGGACCATATAGTTCTGGATCACCTAATAATTTTTTATTTAATTTCCATGTGTATTCATGAAGAAAAAAGTAGTTCCCTTTAATTTCCCACCACCTTAGTGGAGTCCTGTGACCCTTCTAAATGGAGCCATTCATTGGATTTGTTTACATAAAGTTCGAATGTAGCCGGTTTTGTGTACACACGCCCTCGTACACTCATTTTATTAGCATGGTCTTTCAGCTGTTTCGTTATGTGCAATGAATATCATGTATATCAGTGTCTGTGTAATTGATATACAAATGAAATGGATGTAATTTTCATTTTTCTTCTTTGTTGTTTTCATCGATTTAATATCAGATCAGTTTTTCCCTCTTCTTTTTTGGGTTAAAATAAAACTGAATTATAATATGAACAAAATATAGGTAAACTGAGATTTGAGTTTCGTGAATTCTAACAACTATCGAACACCATCAAAGAGGTTAAAAAAAACAAGGTAAGCCCGGAATACTACGTTATTGGTATGTCAAGTCGGTAAAAATTTAACAATTCAGGTTTTTAAGTGCATGTTGAGACCAATTTCATTGTATGTTGAATTTTTAGTGACCAAGCATACTAATAATATGGCATACCTGACTAACCCAAAATCTTTTCAACTCTGGCTACGCGAAAAGTTGGACGAATTTGAGACTGATTGTATTTTGATGGAAAGAGCCCAAATTCCTCAAATGCACACACATTCATATATACATATTTTATTCCTGCCAAATCTAGGGCCTTTTTGGCCATGTGATAAATAATTGGTGTGCTTCAACTCTCAAGTCTCAATACCCCATTAGAATGATTAAATGAAATTAAATTATAATCTATTGAAAAAGAAATTACAAAATAAATAAATTTGAATACAAAATTTAATTTACACTTTTGCATTTAGAAAGACAAGAACAATACTTTCTAAATAAAATTACATAACTAAAGTAAAGAAGGATATCTCATTATCTCATATCAAGACCTCTGCTTTGTCACAAAGGAAAAAAAAAAAAAAAGGTCTTTTGCGAGGTGAACTCATGATATCCTCTTACCCAATCAGCATGGAAACTATACGACATGAATAGGCCGATACATCAAGCTCTAAAAAAGGTAATAGCTTATAAATATAAATTATCATTTATATATCTATTAAATAAGATAATTATATAACTTTTATTACTTTATAATTTTTATACTAAAGTTACACAAGTTAAAGCAATTTGAATATCAAATGTACTATATATGATATATATTACTATTCTATTCCGTCATTGTGTTTATATTTTTGTTCATATTACATCCTGTGACATGCATATGTTTAATTAATTTTTATTTAGAGAAAAAAAAAATTAAGCATTGATATATGTTCATAATTAGTGTTATTTCTAGGACTACCATTATTTGTTTTATATAGGATGAGAGGTGTGTGATATGTTGTTCAGTATTCAAAATGTGTCGGAGATATATTTGTCAAGTGTCTAATATAATAAAATCTATTTTTAAATTTATGGACACATGGTTGAAGAGTGTAATAGTATCCATGTTGTCTGAGAGTGCAATAGTATCTATAAAGTATCAGTGTCGGACACGACAACTTGAACACGACCAACACGACACTCAAAAAAGTGTCCGCGTTTCTCAGCCTCTTACTCCAACATGAACACAACACTCATAAAAGTGTCCGCACTTCTTAGCCTCTTACCAAAGAATTTCTATTTCGATGACCTGCATGTGCCTTTCTGCCTTCTTTGAATCCCTGGAGGATACAAAGACTCAAGTAGATACCGACTTTGACACTTAAATTCACAGAGTATATAGGAGAAGCAGAGATATCACATCATTATAATAACAAATAATTACTAATTTACTACTAATGTTAAGGCCCGCTATCTTTTATCTTTTCTAAAGCAAAGTTTTGGTCAAATTACTCAATACCGTGAAGAAATATGATGTTGGACGGATTTAGTAATTTTCATTAATTAGGTCTTTCTCTATTTTATTAGATTTTCCATGTAGCGTTAGGTTTCCTAGTAATTAGGCGTGTTTTTTTTTTTTTTTTTTACTATAAATCTGAGTATGGTAGCGAGAGTGCGTAGAAATAATTAACACTCAATTATTAATACAATATATCATATTTTCTTTGTAAATTTTCTTCAGAATTATTTATTATCTTCCTTGGAGATAGCTTCACCTTCGTCGAAATAGTTGGCACATTATCATCATGAAGAGAATTAGGTATACCAAGAATTAATAGATCAAGAAAGAAGCGAGCCACAGCCATGCCTTAGCCTTTTTCTTACCTTCCCGAACATCTCGTCGTTGATGAAATACTTTCAAGTCTCTGTTGAAATTCAGGTTCGTTTCGAAGTTATGGCATTCTTTGAATACCGATCCTCACTTCATCAAAACCCACCTCAATCAATCACTCTCAAAGACCAACAACATCCGGATACTCATACCCAGTAGGCCCAACTTTCCACTCCGTTTCTACACGGCAAGTTTCGGATCCTCGGGTAATGGCGTCAATGCAGTATCGAAGATTGATATTTTATTTAAGGACAATCCTCATTCTACGTGTAAAATTGTTGGTTCTTGCAATGGGTTGATATGCATGGCGGTAGATTTTGAATTGATATATATATTCAATCCTTCAACGAGGGAGTACATGCAAATCCCGGATTTCGATCCAAATACTTTTTTGCGGTTGGATTTGGCTACGACCATTGTTCTGATTGTTACAAACTGTTCAAAATACACAGCAATAGCATCTATGTATATTCCCTGAGAATGGTTCTTGGAGAAAAGTTCATGACTTTACTTATAAGTCCAGTGTTGGTGTTTATTATTCGAAAGGGATACAGCTGAATGGAGCCCTTCATTGGCTTTGTTTGGACGAAGGAGGGAATCCATTAGAGATTGTTGTTTTTAGTTTGGAGGATGAGAAAGTGTGGAAGATTCCCATGCCTACTTCCTTCACTGATGATGATGACGCATTCGAAGTAGGGGTGTTTGATGGATGCCTTTGTATAGTACCACTTGATGATGTACTCTGGGTTATGAAGGAGTATGGGGTGAAACAGTCTTGGACTAAACTTGAACTTGGAATCCCATTTCTGCATACCATCAAGCCATTGGCTTTGTTGAGGAATGATGAAGCTCTGTTGTTGATAGACTTCACAAAGTTTGTTTTATACAATACAAGAGAGGGAACATATAGGGATCTTGTCACAGATGATGTGGAATGTTTTGACGTAGAGATCTATGTAGATAGTCTCGTATCACCGTAGAGAAAACAAATGAAATTTAGGATGATTGATGTGCTGAAAAAATAAAGGCTTGGACTGGATAAGGAATTGGGTTTTCTGTAATTTCTTTGAGCCTCTCTATCACACTACTATATTAGTGCCAAACCGATTTACTATTTACTTCTTTGCTGAGCACTTCGGTTTTGAAATTATAATTTTGTTCAAAGTTTAAATTAAATATATTTCAATTCTAATTTCGGCGCCTTCACGTTCAGAAAGAAACTGAATGGAGCTTAACCATAAGCCTTTATATTTCTTTGTATACTTTACAAGCAATTATTAATTATTACTGTATTAGTATAAAATTTTAATTACTTTGTAATTTGGATCTATACTAAAGTAATAGAAATTAGAATGTGAAACAATCTAAACATCAAATGTACCATGATATTATACAAAGCCCTTGTGGTCTTTTATTCAATCACAGTGCGGGTTTCATATTCATCCTTCCTCACAAAGGATCTAATTTCCTGGTTTACAGTATTTGGATTGAGCATAATCTGAGAATTTTTAAGAAAAAATCATTCACCCAAAATTCATTGCTTCACCAAACGCGGGAGACAATCAGCTGAAACTCATGTCTACAACCATCTCCGACTCTGTGAATGCCATACTCATCATAGATGAATGGGAGCTTCCTCCCTCAGCTATCAGACCACCGGCCAAGCCTCCTAATCAACGGATTTGAGAGAGAGCATCTTCTCCATAGACATTGCTTTGTGTTGTGTCAATGTATCTTTTGCTGGTTTGTTTGCTCTTGTGCTTTGAGCTGTCTCATGGGCTAACTTGTATGGTCTCATGGTTTTGTATTTTGGTTAGCCTGGGCTAACTTGTATTGGATATCTTATTATCTTATAAAATTAATTTTACCTTTCAAAAAAAAAAGTACTATGATAGTACTATTCCATCTCGTGGTTGTAGTTATAATTTTATTCATATTACATGACATGTGTTTAATATGAAAATATATCTTTATAAATATATATATTATAGGAAAAAAGATTAAGTACTTTGATATATGTTCGTGATGTTGTTTGAAGGATTACCATTACTTGTTTCTTGATGTGTTGTGTGATACCCCCGGATTTCCGGATGCGGGTTGGCCAGGCCCACGCCCGATTACCCGAGGATATCAAAACAATTAGCAATATAATGAACACAGAATACAATATAGAAAACAAGAATAAATAAAATTTTGCTGAAAAGAATCTAGAATGATAATCCAATAATTGAAAACCTCAGAATAAATAATTTCATTGATAAAAACTATTTTGATACAACTGATCCACCACGAATGGAAATCGTTCTCCAATTTATACAACTCGGGAATCCATCTAGTGGACCCCTAAAAATATCCAATGGTACTCAAAAGACTGGAACAAAACCCAAGTCTTAACATGAAATAAAATCCTACGCCATCAGTAGAGTGAATAACTGTATCTGCTCAGCACGATCAAGCTCTACAGCCCAGAACTGACGAACACCTGAAAAAAATAATAAAAGGGTGGGTCAGGCCCACTAGCAAGTTCTAATCTAGCTGCAATCCATACAGTGACCCGATACGCAGATACACCATAGATACCTCACAATATCTATCTAGTCCATACATATATATATCCACACTATGGGACATTCACTGAACTACAGTAGGGATCTCAACCTGAATAGAAGGCAACATGCGAATACGCACCCAAAGGTGGGCATGAGTACCTAGACCTAACAGGGTACACCCAACCTACTATAACCAGCTACACGTCCACTGCATATACGCACCCTAACCAACAAGTTTGAGACTCAAGCTCAACTCGTGGTACCATAAACATATATATCTAAACTCCGTTCCTAACCATTCACAAGAAATCCAATAAGTCATTCGGCGTATTCAACCGTACCGACTTATATATATATAAGGAGGATTTATTTAACAACCCGTTCCCTTATTCCAAAACAGGTAGGACTGAGTATTTTAAATCAGTCTGTCCCTAGTATGCCACCGTCCCATACCGGTGCATACAATCCACAAAGTCCATATAATTGATAGAACCAGTCATACTGTTCACCAATTAAAATCCATAAGGTAGGAATTAGCATTTTGAACTAAACCATACCTAGTATGCCACCGTCCCATACCGGTGCATACCATCCTCCATATCCATGTAAATTACAACATTCAAATGATAAGCAAGTAATTTACAATGATAATTGACAGAATTTTAATGTGAGAATTCAGCAATTAAAATCCAATACATAATTCCAAATAATTGGTCAAATTTAATATAAGAATTAAGTAATTATAATCCAATATATGATTCCAAATAATTGACCGAATTAAGTATAAGAATTCAGCAATTATGTTCCAATACATAATTCCAGGTAAATTACAAGGCATAAATAATAAGCATGTAATTTATAGTCCAAAACCAACCATCCACATTATTGTAGAATAGTATTTAGTATTTCAACAACTTAAAACCAAAACCATGTAAATTACAGACTACGAATGATAGTACAGTAATTTAAAATCCAAAACCAATATCCAATTAATCACCGAAGATTTTTAAATGTTTCAGCAATATAAATCCAACCAATTAACCATATAGTTGCAGGGGATGAATTAATAAATCAACAACTAACTTCCAGAGCCTGCATAGATTACATCTAACACATCAATGACCCCATAATATATTTAAGACCATTTAATACATATATTACATCCCACTGGAATGCCTAACAATAAGCTTAAACATTTAAAACTTCATTCATCCACCAACCGTATACCATTGTACATAAGTGTTATACAGTTTGATCCGTTAATTTAGAATTAACTTTAAATTAATTTAGGGTCTTAATAACACCCAAAAATTAACTATTTAATCCCCCGTGTAGTCTTATTAAATTTCTAAAATTTAATCAAGCCATTTAGTTCCTTTCTCTGTTAGTAGCATACACCGTGGTATATTTTACACTGCTTCATCCTTTGTCTTAAAGACTTAAACCATGCAACATTAAGTTTAATAACCATTAAAATTAACTACTTAGATCCTCTGTTAAGTCCCTACAGTTCATTAGAATCACTCAGAAGCCCAAACAGTGCTCAAAACACCAAACAGAGCCCTAAAACCACTTTCTGGACGTAAAAACAAATTGGAGCCGGCTCTTGGAATGGAGGAGCCGGCTCTTCCCCTATTGGAGCCGGCTCCAATCCCCTAGGAGCCGGCTCTTGCTGAAGGGGAGCCGGCTCTTGACTTCCTAGAGCCGGCTCTCTCCCTCTTGAGAGCCTCCAGTTCAGTCTCTGCTTCGTTTTCGTCAATCTGCTCCTTCTCCGATCAATTCCTACCCCTCTGCTTGTTTCTTAAACTGATCTAAAGGATCTAACACCCTCCTGATAGCATCCCCAAGGTTTGATTATAGCAATTTAAGTCAATTACAAAGCTTAAGTTTGCTACCCAACTTAACATGATGTTAGTATGAACACTGGAACCATATGCAAATTGAAGCAGAACGGATTGCAACACGTATTTAAAATAGAATAATAGCATCCCTATAAGCTTTGTATAACCCCAGTAGTGTTCCTATACGGTGTTTACAAAAGTTGCAATCACATACAGAGACTAAATTTACAACAGAATCAATATACTTGACGTACAGGATACTGAAACAAATATACACGAACTGTAAATATATTGGATTTTAAAACAAACAGACTATCACCCAAGCATATAATAAACATGTAGGTTTCAATCATTGATTAGTTATTCCCTAGAGATCATCTAGGTGCACAGAACACGGCCCAAAGGGAAAGAGGAAGATAGAACTTGCCTTTGTAATAGTTGGTCTGCTTTCCTCTGTTCTGGCCACACTGAAATACTGCTTAGCCTCCTATTACTTCTGTGTTTCCCTTCTCCTAGGTTTGGCTTTGAAACCTCAGTCGAGAACTCACAATTTGCTCTGTTATCTCAACCCTTACTCTGCATCTCTCTGTGTTTTGCAGAACCCTCTACGTGTATATGCTATGTGATATATCGTAAAACCCTAGCTTAACGCATAATGGAGTATTTATAAACTAAATACTAAAACCCTAATCCTTGTCACATTGAGATAAAGCCCTAAACTTAATCCGAGTTTAGTTAGATATCAGATGCTTATGAGACGGCTCCAAAAACCCTAACTAAAACGTATCTAAAACCCTAGTTAATGGAAATTACAAAAATTAAGTACTTAATAAACAATTAATTTAAACCCATTAATTAAATCAAATAAGGAAGCAACGAATCACTTAAAACACATAAAATAAATAAAACAAGTAATTAAAATAAACCAACAAATAAAGAATTACACCCTTAATTAAAATAAACAATAATAAATCAATTAAATCAAATTATCCAATTAATTCAATTAATGCAAATAATGTTAAATAATTCAACTAAGACAATTAAACAAAAATAATAAACGCAAATAAATAATTAACAAATAAATCAATTAATACACACAAATAAACATTTATTCATAAAATTAATAAATAAAATAAAAATGCACATAAAATAACATTTAAATTCCAATTTTATCCCTTTTTAAAGTAGGGGTATTACATTCTTCCCCCCTAACAAAAGGAATTCCGTCCTCGGAATTCACGAAACTCTGAATTAGTTTTACTCCATTCCGTTGTGGATTCTGCCTCCGTGTAAGGGCTCCACTGATTTCCAAATCCGTAAAGAAAAATATATATGTCCGATATACATGACACACAAAAATTATCCAACATGTAAGTTGTATTTAACAACTACTCATCCGTACCCAAATTTTGATATAGGGTATAGGGCCATATTCCTACAAGTTCCATAACATAGATATGTAAAACTTCTATGCATCCCATCCCAATGTTTGAAAACACAAATCGATAGGTTACCGCTTAAACGGTGAAACACCATCCATAACAAATCAATCTAATTAAGACATAAAAACTGACCTTCCTTAATCACGCT